GCTCTTCTCCCGACTGGTTCTTGGCAAGAGTAGCCTGGCTTGTGGTTGTGTTTTCGTCGTCGTCGCTATGTTAGTACGTTTATTTGGCCCGTCTATCACCAACATAGGCCAATCAGCTAACCAGTATTTTCGCCCCTTCCCAAAATTACTTCAATGGAAGGTTTCCAGATGGATATGCGGAGCAAATCGGAGTCAGGTTACTGCGTTGGTACCATGTTCTGTTGGGTTTTTTTCAGGGCTCACTGGTATCTGGCGGTCATATGCTTCCCGGGTCTGGAGGGTCCAGTGTTGGAGAAGAACCCGATGTATGTGGACCCGCCTCCGGCCTCCAGCTCCCCGGATGAGCCGCAGTCGGAGGAGAACATCCCGGACCACTGCCGGCCTCTGTCGCCGGACGGAGACGGGTTGGACAGCTTGTCGGATGGGACGTCCCCCACGTTCCCAGACGAGGCCGACTCGGAACCGCCCCACGAACACTGTGGTTTCCCAGAGGTGGGGGAGGAGCAGCTGGGGAGCAGCCGGGCGGAACCGGAGCAGCAGTTCAGTAGTAAGTGGACCGGTTTGCTCCGGTTTTTGGTCAGAAGCGTCTGGTTTTGTTTGACCCGGGTTTCTCTGTGAAGGCGAGCTGCAGCGCATCAAGTTCTGCTACAGGTCGGGAGACGGAGACGACGCCTACACCTTCTCTGATGACCAGAGCTCCTGTCAGGTACCGCTCCCCTCTGTGTTCTGGTTCCACCCGGGCCCTGGAGTCGGTCCGGCCTCTGAGTATCTCCGTCTCTGTGTGTTCAGGACGAATGCAGCGAAGATGGGAATCTGGCTGAAGACGCCGGCGTTCCCGATGTGTCCAGCTTAGCCTCCAAACCCATCATCTGCAAACAGTGAGTGGAGCAGCTGAACGTTTGGACCTGCAGGGGGCGCTGTTGGGTCTGATTGTTTGACTTTTGACTCTTTCAGGCCTTGTATTCTGATCATGGACTCGCTGCGAGGTCCGTCCAGGTCCAACGTGGTGAAAACCCTCAGAGAGTGAGTGAAACCCACCCAGGCTGGCTGGAAGGCCTAGCTGCTTCTGGTGTTGATCATTACGGGTTGTGTTCAGGTACCTGGAGGTGGAGTGGGAGGTGCGGCGAGGCTCTCAGCGGAGTTTCGGGAAGGACGTGATGAAGGGCTCCAGCCCCCGAGTGCCTCAGCAGGACAACTTCAGCGACTGTGGAGTTTACGTCCTGCAGTACGTGGAGAGCTTCTTCGAGGTGAGAACTGTTCCAGGCGACGGTCGTTCAGGTCGTCGGTCCTAAGGCGTCGGCTCCAGACAGAGGCGTGCAGAAGCAGTCCACAAGGGGGAGCCACAGGGGTTGTTATGAGGGCCTCACCTTTTCATCATTGATTTAAAGCCTGGTTTATGCTCAGAAACCAGGTCGTCTGCGTGTGTGTTCAAAAACCTGGGCGGGATCCTCCAAGGACGCGGTCTACCTAGACTGGATCCTTCAAAGTCCGTGAAAATAAGGAGACCGGAAGAGTTTAGGCTGTGAATTGAAACAGGTCTACCCTTCAGCGGGTTTTACAGCCATAGGCTCTGTCGCTTAGCAACCGTGAAAGTTGACACAAAGCAGGAAAAGAATGAAAACCGAAGTTTTCAAAACTGTTTGTTTATTTCTTTTTTATTATAAAGTGAACAAAGACTACACTAACAAGAATCCAGAATAGAATAAATGTTCCAACCACCGGGA